GTGTGTAGGTGTGTGTGTGTGTGTGTGTGTGTGTGTGTGTGTGTGTGTGTGTAGGTGTGTGTGTGTGTAGGTTGTGTGTGTGTGTGTGTGTGTAGGTGTGTGTGTGTGTGTGTAGGTGTGTGTTAGGTGTGTGTGTGTGTGTTTGTGTGTAGGTGTGTGTGTGTGTGTGTGTGTGTGTGTGTGTGTGTGTGTGGTTGTGTGTGTGTGTGTGTGTGTGTATGTGTTGTGTAGGTGTGTGTGTGTGTAGGTTGTGTGTGTGTGTGTGTAGGTGTGTGTGTGTGTGGTGTGTGTGTGTGTGTGTAGGTGTGTGTAGGTGTGTGTGTGTGTGTGTGTGTGTGTAGGTGTGTGTGTGTGTAGGTGTGTGTGTACTCGCCTATTTGTACTCACCTATTTGTGGTTGCAGGGTTCGAGTCCTAGCTCCTGGCCCCGCCTCTTCACCGGTTGCTACTAGGCCCTCTCTCTCCCCGCTCCATGAGCTTTATCAAACCTCGTCTTAAAACTGTGTATGGTTCCTGCCTCCACTACGTCATTTTCTAGGCTATTCCACTGCCTTACAACTCTATGACTGAAGAAATACTTCCTACTATCTCTCTGACTCATTTGTGTCTTCAACTTCCAATTGTGGCCTCTTGTTTCTGTGTCCCCTCCCTGGAACATCCTGTCTTTGTCCACCTTGTCTATTCCACGCAGTATTTTATATGTCGTTATCATGTCTCCCCTGACCCTCCTGTCCTCCAGTGTCGTCAGGCCGATTTCCCTTAATCTTTCTTCATAGGACATTCCCCTTAGCTCTGGAACTAACCTTGTCGCAAACCTTTGTACTTTCTCTAGTTTCTTGACGTGGTTTATCAAGTGCGGGTTCCAAACAGGTGCTGCATACTCCAGTATGGGCCTGACATACACGGTGTACAGTGTCTTGAATGATTCCTTACTAAGGTATCGGAATGCTGTTCTCAGGTTTGCCAGGCGCCCATATGCTGCAGCAGTTATCTGATTGATGTGTGCTTCCGGAGACATGCTCGGTGTTATACTCACCCAAGATCTTTCTCCTTGAGTGAGGTTTGCAGTCTTTGGCCACCTAGCCTATACTCTGTCTGTGGTCTTCTGTGCCCTTCTCCCATCTTCATGACTTTGCATTTGGCAGGATTAAATTCGAGAAGCCATTTGCTGGACCAGGTGTCCAGTCTGTCCAGGTCTCTTTGAAGTCCTGCCTGGTCCTCATCAGATTTAATTCTCCTCATTAACTTCACATCATCTGCAAACAGGGACACTTCTGAGTCTAACCCTTCCGTCATGTCGTTCACATATACCAAAAATAGCACTGGTCCTAGGACCGACCCCTGTGGGACCCCGCTCGTCACAGGTGCCCACTGGGATACATCATTACGTACCATGACTCGTTGTTGTCTCCCTGTCAGGTATTCTCTGATCCATTGCAGTGCCCTTCCTGTTATATGCGCCTGATGCTCTAGCTTCTGCACTAATCTCTTGTGAGGAACTGTGTCAAAGGCCTTCTTGCAGTCCAAGAAGATGCAATCAACCCACCCCTCTCTCTCTTGTCTTACTTCTGTTATTTTATCATAAAACTCCAGAAGGTTTGTGACACAGGATTTGCCTGTGTGTGTGTGTGTGTGTGTGTGTGTGCGTGTAGGTGTGTGTGTGTGTGTGTGTGTGTGTACTCACCTAATTGTGGTTGCAGGGGTCGAGACTCAGCTCCTGGCCCCGCCTCTTCACCGACCGCTACTAGGTCCTCTCTCCCCCTGCTCCATGAGCTTTATCATACCTCGTCTTAAAACTATGTATAGTTCCTGCCTCCACTACATCGCTTGCCAGACTATTCCACTTCCTAACAACTCTATGACTGAAGAAATACTTCCTAACATCTCTTTGACTCATCTGAGTCTTCAGCTTCCAATTGTGACCCCTTGTTGCTGTGTCCCATCTCTGGAACATCATGTCTCTGTCCACCTTGTCTATTCCACGCAGTATTTTGTATGTCGTTATCATGTCTCCCCTGACCCTCTTGTCCTCCAGTGTTGTCAGACCGAATTCCCTTAACCTTTCTTCATAGGACATTCCCCTTAGCTCTGGAACTAGCCTTGTTGCAAACCTTTGCACTTTCTCTAATTTCTTGACGTGTTTGACCAGGTGTGGGTTCCAAACTGGTGCTGCGTACTCCAGTATTGGCCTGACGTACACAGTGTATAAAGTCTTGAACGATTCCTTACAGAGGTACCGGAACGCTATTCTGAGGTTTGCCAGGCGCCCATATGCCGCAGCAGTTATCTGGTTAATGTGTGCTTCTGGCGACGTACTCGGTATTATACTAACTCGTGTGTGTGTGTGTGTGTGTGTATTTATATACGTGACCACCACTCCACTGACACCACCGACACCACTCACACCACCACACCACTCACACCACCACACCACTCACACCACCACACCACTCACACCACTCACACCACCACACCACTCACACCACCACACCACTCACACCACCACACCACTCACACCACTCACACCACTCACACCACTCACACCACTCACACCACTCACACCACCACACCACTCACACCACTCACACCACTCACACCACTCACACCACCACACCACTCACACCACACCACTCACACCACTCACACCACCACACTACTCACACCACCACACCACTCACACCACCACACCACTCACACCACTCACACCACCACACTACTCACACCACCACACCACTCACACCACCACACCACTCACACCACTCACACCACCACACTACTCACACCACCACACCACTCACGCCACCACACCACTCACACTACCAACACACAACTCACACCACCACCACACAACTCACACCACACCACTCATACCACTCACACCATAACACCACTCACACCATAACACCATTTACACCACCACCACACCACTCATACCATAACACCATTCACACCACCACCACACCACTCATACCACCACCACACCACTCACACCACCACACTCACACCACTCACACCACCACACTCACACCACTCACACCACACTCACACCACTCACATGTATCATTGTTGACACTGTTAAAGACTTTCTTAAATAATCAGTAATTCTCTACCATTTTGAATTCGTCATTTTTAACCTTGGGAGAACAGCGACCCACGCATGTTAACATCTGTTATTTAAAGCTGCGTTAATTAACAAAATAGTGTTGGCTGGAGGAGCAGTAACTAACGCGAAATTTCGCTGTAATCTTGGAATAATTTCGCGGTCTCCACGGGGGTCCGCGGACCCCCAGTTGAGAACCATAGCGCACTTAACCAGCCGAATTTTTTTTTTTGGGTATTTTTTTTTTACCCCAAAAATCTCAATTTTAATGTAGAGAAAGGAGCAGAAGTCTTTCAAACTGGGTTTTTAGAGTTTGAAGTCTATCTACTACACGAGGGTCATTAAGGCTACATGTCACCTGTACACCACCAGTCAAGAATACTTTAATACCTAAAATACTGATTACTGTAAACTACCAGTGTATATACACTGAGATATACACCTCTCAGTGTATATACACTGAGATATACACCTCTCAGTGTATATACACTGAGATATACACCTCTCAGTGTATATACACTGAGATATACACCTCTCAGTGTATATACACTGAGATATACACCTCTCAGTGTATATACACTGAGATATACACTTCTCAGTGTATATACACAGAGATATACACCTGTCAGTGTATATACACTGAGATATACACTTCTCAGTGTATATATACAGAGATGTTTATCTGAAGAGAGATGTACTTCTTGGTATATATAAACTGATGTTTATATTTACAGCAGATATATACACAGATATATACACAGATTTCTATGAAACGACCCCCTATATAAATTTTCATGACCCATACGGATTTAGGGCTTAATAGGCAAGGGCTCATGTCTCAGTAGTCAGCCAGGAAGGTTGGGTGGATTGAGGGTGGGTGGGTGGTGGTGGGTGGGTTGTGATGGGTGGGGTGTGATGGGTGGGGTGTGATGGGTGGGTTGTGATGGGTGGGGTGTGATGGGTGGGGTGTGATGGGTGGGTTGTGATGGGTGGGGTGTGATGGGTGGGGTGTGATGGGTGGGTTGTGGTGGGTGGATTGAGGATAGGTGGGTGGGTGGTGATGGGTGGATTAAGGATGGTGGGTGGTGATAGGCGGATTGAAGATAGGTGGGTGGGTGGTGATGGGTGGATTAAGGATGGGTGGGTGGTGATAGGCGGATTGAGGATAGGTGGGTGGGTGGTGATGGGTGGATTAAGGATGGGTGGGTGGTGATAGGCGGATTGAGGATAGGTGGGTGGGTGGTGATGGGTGGATTAAGGATGGGTGGGTGGTGATAGGCGGATTGAGGATAGGTGGGTGGGTGGTGATGGGTGGATTAAGGATGGGTGGGTGGTGATAGGCGGATTGAGGATAGGTGGGTGGGTGGTGATGGGTGGATTAAGGATAGGTGGGTGAGTGGGTGGGTTGTGATGGGTGGATTAAGGATGGGTGGGTGAGTGGGTGGGTTGTGATGGGTGGATTGAGGATGGGTGGGTGGTGATGGGTGAATTGAGGATGGGTGGGTGAGTGGGTGGGTTGTGATGGATGGGTGGTGATAGGTGGATTGAGGATGGTTGGGTGTTGATGGGTGGATTGAGGATGGGTGAGTGGGTGGGTTGTGGTGAGTGGGTGGGTTGTGGTGAGTGGGTGGTGATGGGTAGATTGAGAATGGGTGGGTGGTGATGGGTGGATGGTAATGGATGGATTCTGATGGGTGAAATGAGGATGGGCGGGTGGTGATGGGTGGATGGTAATGGATGGGCTGTAATGGGTGGATGGTGATGGGTGGGTGAGAGGGTGGTGTGCCTGCCACCCATCTGAGAGGCCAGATAAGAGGATAATGTTAAGTAACGATTGAACGCTGGTTGGCCTCCTAGGCCACACAGTGCGTTGTTTGCGTTATTCTATCCTGATAATGACCTTAGTGTGAGGTGTGGGCGGGGCGGGAGTAAGCGGGGGCGGGGCGGGAGTAAGCGGGGGCGGGGCGGGAGTAAGCGGGGGCGGGGCGGGAGTAAGCGGGGGCGGGGCGGGAGTAAGCGGGGGCGGGGCGGGAGTAAGCGGGGGCGGGGCGGGAGTAAGCGGGGGCGGGGCGGGAGTAAGCGGGGGCGGGGTGGGAGTAAGCGGGGGCGGGGCGGGAGTAAGCGGGGGCGGGGCGGGAGTAAGCGGGGGCGGGGCGGGAGTAAGCGGGGGCGGGGCGGGAGTAAGCGGGGGCGGGGCGGGAGTAAGCGGGGGCGGGGCGGGAGTAAGCGGGGGCGGGGCGGGAGTAAGCGGGGGCGGGGCGGGAGTAAGCGGGGGCGGGGTGGGAGTAAGCGGGGGCGGGGCGGGAGTAAGCGGGGGCGGGGCGGGAGTAAGCGGGGGCGGGGCGGGAGTAAGCGGGGGCGGGGCAGGAGTAAGCGGGGGCGGGGCGGGAGTAAGCGGGGGCGGGGTGGGAGTAAGCGGGGGCGGGGCGGGAGTAAGCGGGGGCGGGGCGGGAGTAAGCGGGGGCGGGGCGGGAGTAAGCGGGGGCGGGGCGGGAGTAAGCGGGGGCGGGGCGGGGCGGGAGTAAGCGGGGGCGGGGCGGGGCGGGAGTAAGCGGGGGCGGGGCGGGAGTAAGCGGGTGCGGGGCGGGGCGGGAGTAAGCGGGGGCGGGGCGGGAGTAAGCGGGTGCGGGGCGGGGCGGGAGTAAGCGGGGGCGGGGCGAGGAGACAGACAGATTTTGCTGCACAGGAATTAACAGCAATCATGGAAGATGCTGCACACTGTTGGCCTCGTGCAAGCTGCAGTAGTGACAGGAACAGCATCAGCAGTAGTAGTAACAGAATCAGCAGTAGTAGTAACAGAATCAGTAATAGTAGTAACAGCATCAGAAGTAGTAGTAACAGAATCAGTAATAGTAGTAACAGCATCAGCAGTAGTAGTAACAGTATCAGCAGTAGTAGTAACAGTATCAGCAGTAGTAGTAAGAGCATCAGCAGTAGTAGTAACAGCATCAGCAGTAGTAGTAACAGTATCAGCAGTAGTAGTAAGAGCATCAGCAGTAGTAGTAACAGCATCAGCAGTAGTAGTAACAGCATCAGCAGTAGTAGTAACAGCATCAGAAGTAGTAGTAACAGAATCAGTAATAGTAGTAACAGCATCAGAAGTAGTAGTAACAGAATCAGTAATAGTAGTAACAGCATCAGCAGTAGTAGTAACAGCATCAGCAGTAGTAGTAACAGAATCAGTAATAGTAGTAACAGCATCAGAAGTAGTAGTAACAGAATCAGTAATAGTAGTAACAGCATCAGAAGTAGTAGTAACAGAATCAGTAATAGTAGTAACAGCATCAGCAGTAGTAGTAACAGCATCAGCAGTAGTAGTAACAGCATCAGCAGTAGTAGTAACAGCATCAGAAGTAGTAGTAACAGAATCAGTAATAGTAGTAACAGCATCAGAAGTAGTAGTAACAGAATCAGTAATAGTAGTAACAGCATCAGCAGTAGTAGTAACAGCATCAGCAGTAGTAGTAACAGCATCAGCAGTAGTAGTAACAGCATCAGAAGTAGTAGTAACAGAATCAGTAATAGTAGTAACAGCATCAGCAGTAGTAGTAACAGTATCAGCAGTAGTAGTAAGAGCATCAGCAGTAGTAGTAACAGCATCAGCAGTAGTAGTAACAGCATCAGCAGTAGTAGTAACAGCATCAGAAGTAGTAGTAACAGAATCAGTAATAGTAGTAACAGCATCAGAAGTAGTAGTAACAGAATCAGTAATAGTAGTAACAGCATCAGAAGTAGTAGTAACAGAATCAGTAATAGTAGAACAGCATCAGCAGTAGTAGTAACAGCATCAGCAGTAGTAGTAACAGCATCAGCAGTAGTAGTAACAGCATCAGAAGTAGTAGTAACAGAATCAGTAATAGTAGTTAACAGCATCAGAAGTAGTAGTAACAGAATCAGTAATAGTAGTAACAGCATCAGCAGTAGTAGTAACAGAATCGTAATAGTAGTAACAGCATCAGAAGTAGTAGTAACAGAATCAGTTAATAGTAGTAACAGCATCAGAAGTAGTAGTAACAGAATCAGTAATAGTAGTAACAGCATCAGCAGTAGTAGTAACAGCATCAGTAGTAGTAACAGCATCAGCAGTAGTAGTAAGAGCATCAGCAGTAGTAGAAACAGCATCAGTAGTAGTAGTAACAGGATCAGTAGTAGTAGTAACAGAATCAGTAATAGTAGTAAGAGCATCAGCAGTAGTAGAAACAGCATCAGTAGTAGTAGTAACAGGATCAGTAGTAGTAGTAACAGCATCAGCAGTAGTAGTAACAGCGTCAGCAGTACTAGTAACAGCATCAGCAGTACTAGTAACAGCATCAGCAGTAGTAGTAACAGCATCAGCAGTAGTAGTAACAGCATCAGCAGTAGTAGTAACAGCATCAGCAGTAGTAGTAACAGCATCAGTAGTAGTAACAGCATCAGCAGTAGTAGTAACAGCATCAGCAGTAGTAGTAACAGCATCAGTAGTAGTAGTAACAGCATCAGCAGTAGTAGTAACAGCATCAGCAGTAGTAGTAACAGCATCAGCAGTAGTAACATCAGCAGTAGTAACATTAGCAGTAGTAACATCAGCAGTAGTAACATCAGCAGTAGTAACATCAGCAGTAGTAACAACATCAGCAGTAGTAACATCAGCAGTAGTAACAACAACAGTAGTAACATCAGCAGTAGTAACAACAGTAGTAACAGCATCAGCAGTAGTAACAACAACAGTAGTAACAGCATCAGCAGTAGTAACATCAGCAGTAGTAACAACATCAGCAGTAGTAACATAAGCAGTAGTAACATTAGCAGTAGTAACATCAGTAGTAGTAGTAACATCAGTAGTAGTAGTAACAGCATCAGCAGTAGTAACAACATCAGCAGTAGTAACATCAGCAGTAGTAACATCAGCAGTAGTAATATCAGAGTAGTTAGGTAAGACACATATGCAACAGTTAGACAACTTTATTCCGAAACGTTTCGCCTACACAGTAGGCTTCTTCAGTCGAATACAGAAAGTAGGCAGGAACAGTAGAGATGTGAAGACGATGTAATCAGTCCATCACCCTTAAAGTCGTAGAATTTGAGGTTGTCAGTCCCTCGGCCTGGAGAAGTTCAGTTCCATAGTCAGGAACTATCTGAAGATTAAGCGACAGTGCGGAGACTTAAATACTGTCGGAAGGAGAGGTGCAGGGTAGTAGTAGTAGTAGTAGTAGTAGTAGTGAGAGGCAACTGAGAGGTCATGTCCCTCTCAGATCCAACCCTTCTCACTTGAGAAGCTTGTCCAAGGTGTTTTCTGTACCAAGATGCCACGTGTTGCAGTGTCTGGACTGATTACATCGTCTTCACATCTCTACTGTTCCTGCCTACTTTCTGTATTCGACTGAAGAAGCCTACTGTGTAGGCGAAACGTTTCGGAATAAAGTTGTCTAACTGTTGCATATGTGTCTTACCTAACAACCTGTCGGTATTGTATACCATTTTGATGTTCAACATCAGAGTAGTAACATCACAAGTAGTAACATCAGTAGTAGTAGTAACAGCATCAGCAGTAGTAACAACATCAGCAGTAGTAACAACATCAGTAGTAGTAACAACATCAGTAGTAGTAACAGCATCAGCAGTAGTAACAACATCAGCAGTAGTAACAACATCAGTAGTAGTAACATCAGTAGTAACAACATCAGTAGTAGTAACAGCATCAGCAGTAGTAACAACATCAGCAGTAGTAACATCAGCAGTAGTAGTAACATCAGTAGTAACAACATCAGCAGTAGTAGTAACAACATCAGCAGGAGTAACAACAGCAGTAGTAGTATCAGCAGTAGTAACAACATCAGCAGTAGTAACAACATCAGCAGTAGTAACAACATCAGTAGTAGTAACATCAGCAGCAGTAGTAACATCAGCAGGAGTAACAACAGCAGTAGTAGTATCAGCAGTAGTAACAACATCAGCAGTAGTAACATCAGCAGTAGTAACAACATCAGTAGTAACAACATCAGCAGTAGTAGTAACATCAGCAGTAGTAACATCAGCAGTAGTAGTAACATCAGCAGTAGTAACAACATCAGCAGTAGTAGTAACATCAGCAGTAGTAACAACTTCAGCAGTAGTAACATCAGCAGTAGTAACAACATCAGCAGTAGTAACAACATCAGCAGTAGTAACAACATCAGCAGTAGTAACAACATCAGCAGTAGTAACATCAGCAGTAGTAACATCAGCAGTAGTAGTAACATCAGCAGTAGTAACAACATCAGCAGTAGTAACAACATCAGCAGTAGTAACAACATCAGCAGTAGTAATATCAGCAGTAGTAGTAACATCATCAGTAGTAACAACATCAGTAGTAACATCAGCAGTAGTAACAACATCAGCAGTAGTAGTAAGATCAGCAGTAGTAACAACATCAGCAGGAGTAACAACATCAGCAGTAGTAGTAATATCAGCAGTAGTAACATCAGCAGTAGTAACAACATCAGCAGTAGTAACAACATCAGCAGTAGTAACAACATCAGCAGTAGTAACAACATCAGCAGTAGTAACATCAGCAGTAGTAACAACATCAGCAGTAGTAACATCAGCAGTAGTAGTAACATCAGCAGTAGTAACAACATCAGCAGTAATAACAACATCAGCAGTAGTAACATCAGCAGTAGTAACAACATCAGCAGTAGTAGTAACAACATCAGCAGTAGTAACAACATCAGCAGTAGTAGTAACATCAGCAGTAGTAACAATATCAGCAGTAGTAACAACATCAGCAGTAGTAACAACATCAGCAGTAGTAACAACATCAGTAGTAGTAACATCAGCGGTAGTAACAACATCAGCAGTAGTAACAACATTAGCAGTAGTAACAACATCAGCAGTAGTGGTAACATCAGCAGTAGTAACAACATCAGCAGTAGTAACAACATCAGCAGTAGTAACAACATCAGCAGTAGTAGTAACAACATCAGCAGTAGTAGTAACAACATCAGCAGTAGTAGTAACAACATCAGCAGTAGTAACAACATCAGCAGTAGTAGTAACAACATCAGTAGTAGTAACAACATCAGCAGCAGTAGTAACAACATCAGCAGGAGTAACATCAGCAGTAGTAACAACATCAGCAGGAGTAACAACATCAGGAGTAACAACATCAGCAGTAGTAACAACATCAGCAGTAGTAACAACATCAGCAGTAGTAACATCAGCGGTAGTAACAACATCAGCAGTAGTAACATCAGCAGGAGTAACAACATCAGTAGTAACAACATCAGCAGAGTAACAACATCAGCAGTAGTAACAACATCAGCAGTAGTAACAACATCAGCAGTAGTAACAACATCAGCAGTAGTAACATCAGCGGTAGTAACAACATCAGCAGTAGTAACAACATCAGCAGTAGTAACAACATCAGCAGTAGTAACAACATCAGCAGTAGTAACAACATCAGCAGTAGTAGTAACAACATCAGCAGCAGTAGTAACAACATCAGCAGTAGTAACAACATCAGCAGTAGTAACAACATCAGCAGTAGTAGTAACAACATCAGCAGCAGTAGTAACAACATCAGCAGTAGTAACAACATCAGCAGTAGTAACAACATCAGCAGCAGTAGTAACAACATCAGCAGCAGTAGTAACAACATCAGCAGTAGTAACATCAGCAGTAGTAACAACATCAGCAGTAGTAACAACATCAGCAGTAGTAA